TTTTAACAGGTTTTCTCTGTGAGTTACTCATGGTTTCATTAAATCAAGCACATTTTACTGAAATGTACATCTCCACAATACCAAACTCCTCCCATAATAATAATATAAATAATACTTTTTTCAGGGTATTAGTGGGAGATGACTGAGGTCTGACATTCCTCACCAGCTGGTTTCAGCTCAAAACAGAGCTCACTTACACTTTTGCCAGTGCAGGTAACCAAGATCAAAATACAGCTCAGACCAGTCTTGAGGTTAGAAGCAGGTTGATGTTTTCCTTCTCAAAGAGGAGCATGCTCTGTGTGCTGTCTATGTACCACCACGCTGCATTTTGCAGCAATTCAGTATCAGAATATGATAAATCATTCTGAAAAGAATGTGCCTGCTGTACAATGGACCTACACAGCAGACAAATTTTTTCTTCAGTACAGGATAATTTACTTCCAGATAAATTACAGGATAATTTACTTCAAGTTCACTTCCAGATTTTTGCTACAGTAATACTTTCAGTATCTGTAGAAATGCACTCGAGTACTTAAAAATCTTTGGCAGAAAATACTCCTTGCCACCTGACCAAGCTAGTTTTCCTCATGAATGTGAAGCATTTCCGCTATTTGTTCCATATGAAACACAGAAATAGAGTCCAATAGGACTGCAGCATCACCCTACATGCTCAGCTCGGACACAGAAACAAGTCTCATGTAACCTGAAGTGAAGCCGTTCACACTAGCAATTTGGTTGCTGTTGGTCTGAACTCTTCAGCCTGTTCTCAGTCTGCTTGTTATTCAGCACAGAGACAAGACTACACAGAGCAAACAGTCCGAATTTGCTTTTCAGTCTGGTTAACAAGTTTTCTAAATATCTCAGTTTGTCACTACCAGTTGCAAGAAATCCTTCCACAGAAGTGTGATCTGTCATTATAAAAAAAGCTGAAAGCTGATTTCACACCTCTGCTTGTTAACAATTTTCTAAAGCAAATAAAGCTCTTTACTTCAAAAAATAATTAAAACTAACTCTTCATTAACAGTTCAAATTGCCTAGGTAAATGTGGTCACAGCTCTAATTTGCACACTGTCACTGAATAGTTTTATCAAGCTTCTTCATTTCATGCTTGCAGAGGATCACTTTCTGATTATTTCCCTTCCACACACAATTACACTTAGTAAGCAGTCATGGAAAAGACCATCAATGATGGAAACATCCTTTCAAACCTTGAGACCCAAATTCAAATACCCCCCGTACCGACTGGTTGGCAATTTCCGACTGATACTGAAAAGGTTACAAAACCGACTTTCACTGCTGCGGGGATTACATGCAGCGATAAGTGATGGGAAACAAGGTTAGACAACTCCAGGCTTTGTCCAAGGAATGTCTAACCAAAATCTCAGGCATTAACTGTAAACAGTTAATGGAATGTTGACCCCATTTCTTCTGAGCCTCCCTAACTGAGCAAAGAACAAAACACAGTTCTTTAACTTGGCAATTTTTGTCATCATGGCAATCAATACGTGCAACTCTTCCTGCTTTTATTTGCATGAAAACGTTCTGCCTACAAATACATTACCTCTGGGAGTGTGAGGCTCTCAAAATGAGCTCACTGTTCCTAATTAACAGGTTACTCCGTAACAACCGTTTTTCAGCCAGTGTTCACTGGCCCTTTTTGAAACTTCCTTTCCCCATCATCTAGTCTTTTATCAACACAGCACAACTGGACCTCCATATCCATTGGAATCATTTAGTTCTATTCTTGCAGTTCTTTTTAGAAGCACCTGATTCTTTTGATATTTTTTGCTAAAAGTTTCAGCTGAAAAGTCACTAATACTTCTGCTGGACTCAGACTATGGATCTGAAGTGAACTCAGAATTGCGGAGGTTACTGGCAATTTTGGATGGTGTCTAACTGATTTGTACTAGACAATCCAATTGAAGTCTCCCCACCAAGTTCCTAGTCTGATTTCACACATCTGCTTTTTTCAATAATAAATCAAAAAAATGATTTGCCCTTGTCTGAAATATCCAAGTAGTCGTATTTATTCAAATCCTGAGAGAAAACTAAAGACATTATTTCTGAGAGCATATTTGTACAACTGAACACTTCTTACTCCTACTAAATGGATCTCAAGGCTACCTGCTTATCTCACCGACCCAGAAACAATCTAATATTATGCCCATATTCTGCTTAAGCCCCTTCTTCAGAGCATCATTTAGCAGTTTCATCAACAGGCTCTAGCAAGCACCAGAGTAAAACCATTTTTTGATCCAGAGAATTCCTATCAGGATGCTCTTTATCAGTCCTCTTTAGAAGAAAAAAGAAGAATTAATACACACTATCCTAAAACAGTCTGTCTTTCCTGGGCACAGCAACATCCTTGCATCCTCCTGCACTAACTACGGCAAGTGATCACCCCGACACTCTTATTTTGGTGGAATTTCACATCCTTGTCCATTTTTTAACAATTTGACTGATTTCATACAATATAAACTCATAAATCAATTAGCTAAATAACTCTGTTTTGAGGAGATAGGGTGGCTGTCATTAACATACCTGCCTTACGTTCCTCCTGCCAGTTTAAGTTTCTTTTGTTAATAAACAGAAACTGAACCCATCTGAAAACACAGCTGCCATGCAACTGGGTTGCAACCCAATAGACAGGCAAAACCCCAGACAGGATTTCCACTTTACTTTAAAATACTTTTCATCTTTTACTAAAAATGAAATATTTAAAAATAAACAGTAGAAAGAAGTCATTAACTCAGACAATCAGCAGTTGTCTGAGTAGAATTCAGTACTTGCCTAACTGAATCATGATTCCTTGTAATGAACATGTGGGCAAACTCCTACAGGTTTTTCATTATTCCTCCAGGAGAAGGAGGGCAGCAAAAAGCAGAATTTTAAGCATTCAGTGGAAACAACAACAAAGGTTCATAATAGATTAAATATTCTTAGCTAATTAAAAAAAAAAGAGGTATATGGATGGTAAAATCTGCAAAGTTCTATGAAATACTGTGATCACTAGAGCTCTATTTTGTGCCCTATTAACATAATTTTAGCTCTCAGCCCTTGAGTAAATGCGCACTAAGCACAGGAAACAAAAACCAAAATATCAGTGCTCATGCACAGCAGTCTTCTGTGTAGCTGGAAGTATTCAAACAGATTTCTGTCTTTTTATCCTTGCCCTACCACTGCTTATATACTTGATGGCACAATGGTTTGCAAAGGACTTGTATTTTTAATGGAGATCTATTCTTTCCTTGCTTGCCTTTTGCTTTGAAATTTTTCTTTCAGGTCATCAATACTGGGCAGGGGGGACCTCAAACCAAGTCAGAAAACAAAAACACTTTTGAGAGAAATTTAAGGGTCTTTCAAGTAATTCATCTTTCAGTGTAGCAAGAAAATCAGGGAGAAAATCCTGCTGCCTTCCTGACACCATGATACATCTTTATTGGAAAACAGTGCGCTGGATTCAAAGACAGACTAATCAAGTTGAGGGTTTCTCCTACAGAACTTTTCAGCTGCATTTTGCACACCAGGATGCCAGTGAGCGTGCTGAGCAGAGTGCTACATAACAGGTTAGAAAGCACTACAGCCTATTAGGATATACATTCACATTGCTCTGGATAACCTACTACACTGCACCATTTGTATATAATTTGCATTGCTTCAAAAAGGCTCCTCTAGGGAAATGTTTTTGTCTTAATTTAAGTGTATACTTTGCCAAATCAGACAGGAGGCCATTTGTGGTTTGATCCATTAGGTTGAAAAGACTACTATGATTTTCCACTAAAAAATATTCAAGGTTTGTACTGAGCACATTAAGGTGGAAAGCCACTGATAAAATAAGAAACAGCTGGTAAATGAAGATGAGGAAGAGTGTTAAAAAGAGAAACTGCAATGTTTTTCTTTTAAGAAGGACATCAGTAACCACCACAAATCCTGTGCGAGTGGTTAAAATACATTTCAGTGTAGACCCGGATGCAAAATAGATGTTTAAGTGTTGAAAACCAACATATGGTAAATTTTAGCAATGCTGTTTGAGTAAGGATGACTAGTCATCTAACTGGCAAACTCTTCCAAAGGAGGCGAGAAACCACACCCAAAGTACAAGGGTTGATTACCCCACAGCAGAAGACAAAACAAAGAGGTCAGGGATGGCAGCCAGACCCGTCACCGGAGCCTGTGCCCCAGATGGGCTGGAGCACCGCACGCTGCCCGCTGCATGAGGACACAGAGGTCAGCCCCCCAGGCTGTGGCTGAAGGGGGGGACATGGACATGTACGAGCTATTTCGCACTTTGGATTCTGCTGTTCAGATATCAAAGTGGCCAGACTCAATTTATCTGAGTTTCCAGAGCTAGATAGAAACCGTGAATTGACAGAGCCTCTCCTTACACTATGCATTTCAGGGCATCGAAGTCCACTTATTTTACAGATTTCAGAGATCATTTGTTAGACTTTCAGTGGAGAGAAACATAGCATTTATTGATAAGGAAAGGAACCTTTAGTAAAAATCTTTGCAGGACACACATCTGACAGAGACTTATCTGCTAACATTTTCCTATTAACAGAATCCTCTTTATCTCTATTAAAAGACATCCATTACTAAAAATGGACTGGAATAGTATATTCCACTGACAGCTTGACAAAGTATAACCATGTAGTACCTCAGTGGCAACTTCCCCAAAAGATCTTCTTTTGTCCAAACAGAATTTTGTATTCACAAATCAGATGCATATACAATATTCAGACAGTATTTCTACTAAACATAAATAACAGCAGTTACATGTAGAGAGCAGAGTTTTGATTGCATGTAAAAATAAACACATTTACCATTTCCAGAGGACAAAGGGTTCCTCTGGAAATTTTTTAGGACACTAGCTGCAATTTTTTAGGACACTAGCTGCAATTTAGTCTTCAATACCTTCAGCCCTTTCACAGGCAAACACCCATTCAGAAAATATGTACTATCAACACAGAGGTAGAGATCCTATTGTTGTGAGTACTCACCTTGTAATTGGCAATTGCTTCTCTATCAAGGGCTCGGGTCACGGAGACATCCCCACTGATCTCATTGATCCTGAAAATTCCTTTTGGGTCTTGATCTACTCCCTTGCCAGAGAGTCGGAACTTTGCTCCCTCTGTCCCTTCACTGCTGATGACCTGCAAGGCAGAAAGCAAGGGGTTACAGGCCATGGTATAAAAACTGACAGAATCAGTCTAAAACCACATAAGCCGTTTTGATCTTTTACCTAATGTCGAGGTATAGTCCTTGTCAATAATATATAATGATAAAATACAGTGTATGGCAGTATATATTATGACAAAATATGGTTTCAATCATTCAGAAAACACTGAGCAATCCTTGTGTTAAACCCTGGAAAAGCTGCTCATGTCCTTAGCCAGCTCCTATCTTATCTTTACTGTCCTCTATTTCACTACTTAACGTTTCTATTATTCCATTGCTACTGTATTCATTCTGTGTTTAGAATTCGACATTTTAGGTCTATTTCTTTTTTTCAGTTAGATCGATAAAACGGCTACAAGCTTACACAAAAAGACCGATTCCACTGAGTGGCATAAAGCATACTTATTTCACAACAACCCTTACAATATCAGATAGCCATCACACATTACTTTCTGAGTATTCAGTCCTTTTTGTTAGCCATCGTAAAGCCATTGCAAAACAGACCAATTCCAAGTTGGTTCCTTCCTTCCCCTCCCAGTCCCCCATTTCCCAGGACTTTAAACCAAGGGAAAGAACTGCTCATGAAAATATCTGGGTATCATGCCCAGAACTCTGCTTAGTCACACAGTTGGAATCCGTCCACTTTCCAAACTTATGTTTATATATACACACGTATATGGAAAATCCTTGTTACCATCACTACCTTAATTCCCCATAAGAAAAAAATCCCTAAAAATCCAATTTCAAGGCTGTCTCACACTAGTGACAGTAGCATATGTAAACTTGCAGAGCTACACAATGTTTGTTATAAGCTACATGCTTTGTAAATTTGTATTTGTACACCAGAATCTAGAAGGATTATAAATTAATCTTGTCCTTTAAGGCTGACAATCTTGCCAAGCCATTCCTTCCCTCTGCTGTTTCACATTCTTTTGTTCCTAGCAATTGTATATCGTTAATATTTCCACAGAAACATTAAGTCAAATGTTTATGTGCTTGTTTGAATTACTGCTCAGGAAGAGGAAAGGAAAAAGTGGCCTTAGAAACCTGGACCTGCTCCCGTTTGGAGATAAGTATGCAGGGTGTTTAATAATGTCCCTGAGGAAACACACGTTTGTTTAGCAGCGCTGGTTTGCAGATTTACAGGGCAGTGAGGTTCTGACCAAACTCCAGCATCATTATTCCTTTATATTAATTGAGAACAATTTGCCACAAGGTATGAAATAGGAAATCAGTATTTTCAGAGATAAAATTTCAACTCTCAAGCCCTCTGGGGGAGAGAGAAATTTCAAAGTTAAAAAGTTGTTTCACCTTTTTTCTTCCGCCTTCCAAGTCAGAAACACTAATGGGTGAAGTTTTCTTCTCATGTGTTTTTGAGTGTGCCATGCCAAAACACAGGGGCAGACAACACTGCAGGTGACAAAGAGCAAAATAACTTTGTAACTTCAGGTTTTTTGGTGAAACTGAAACTTAATTGTTCCTACTGACAAGTTACCTGCTGTTCCATTTCTTTTCTAAAACATCTCTTCTTTTTTTTTTTTTACATAAGCCTAAAAATACCTGTTTTTCTTAACATAAAGCTATGCTTATGATTCTGCAGTGTCATGACCATTCCTCACTTTTGTAGGGAGAAGATGAATTGATCATCTTCTGCCCTGATTACTGAGACTCGTTCAAGTCAAGCGCACCTTCCCACCCAGTGTAAGAACAGTGGTTTGAAAGGCCTGAAGTCCGCCACAGGTCAGCGTGAAAATCTGATTCAGAGATGTCTACACAACAGCAATCTCCATCACAGCCATCCAACATGACCTAACTGCTTATGACAAATGTAAGATGTAGTACTGGGGCAATGCCACCACTGTAACAAGCCACAAAAAACCGAAACAAATTACAGGTTGTGCAAGGGAATTTATCAGAATAATTCCAGATAATCATATACAGATCTTTCTCCACACTAGACAGAAAGAAAGGAGTGTAATAATAGCAATAAAGGTCTCTGCAAACCTGACTGGAGGGAAAATTTCCTCTCAAGTCCAAATCTGACAACAAACTTATCCTTGAGTTTGATGGCAAGATATCCCAGCATGGTACCTGAAAGATTTGTACCCCTTGGAACTACAGCACATCCCATATCTCATCCCCACTTTGGCTGTAAACCATCCTTCAGCACATAACGTGCAGGACCAACAGAGTGACCAGACAGCAGAGTTTTTTCTACATGACTCGATGTGTCCATTCAGCTTTTTTAAAGCTTCAGGAAGCAGTCACGTTCATGGTGGAAGTATGTGCAAACCGTTCCCTCCTATCTATGAAGCCATCTATGCATGTAGTTATTGCACAGTGACTTATGCTGGGTACGGTAATAAGAAGCCCAGGTTAGAGATGCTCCATGTACCCCTCCATCGTTTATTCAGGAGCAATAGCTATCACACGAAAGTTAATTTTCAGAAGTATGATTATTGAAAATGTTTAATTAGCCACAAGAGGGAGCTACATATTCCCAGGAATATAAGGAAGAACATTAACATCCCCTAATTAAGATGCTTATATAATGGCTGCTTTGTTCATAGAAAGTGCATTTCCCAGTTCATACTAAGCTCAGTACAATGAAAAGTTTATAAAAATCAGACTTAATTTGCCATATGGTTTGGTGCTTCAACAAGAGCAAGGAAGAAAGAACAGGAGGATTGTCTGACATCTCCTCTGGCAAGACTGCTATTCTGAATCCTGTCATAAACCAGCACTGTTGACATGAAAATTTCCTAGCTTACAATGTATTTACACAACAATGTTTTCCCAATTTACTGGCTGAGAAAAAATAAGGCCAGCTTATTTATTTCTGCTGGAACGTTTATTTTGCCATGTCAGTTTCACATTTCTAAAATACGTAAATGACTTTGAGAAACAGTTCCTCCTACCTGAAGCCCAAACAGCAACACTTATTTCCATAATTTGTTCACAGCTTTAGGAGCTTCAGTGCAGGTTCTAATATTAAAAATGTCTGCACCAGGTGACAGCAGCTGTGTGTTACACATAAGGACTCTGCATTCTTAGGAAATGGTCCAGATAAGGTAGCACAGACACAAGCACCTACCTACCAAGAATATGGATAAGGCAGAAATACTCTACCCAGCCTCCGAGTTTCTACCTGTTTCATTTTCCCTTGTTCTAATCCCACAATTCAGAAAGGGCTGACATTGCATGGGCAGATGGCATAGACAGAACACAGGCCAGCTGAGCATCACATGTTAATATAGGCTCTTGAAGACTACTTCCTCACCCAGGACCCAATATTAGATGTAGACCTAGACATTACTCACTACCTCCCACCTGCTAACACTTTCCCATGACAAGGGTACATCAGAGAATAAATGTGTGACAGACCAGTATGTTTTGTTGTGGGTTTTGGTTTGAGGTTTTTGGTTTGGTCTTGTCTTTTTTTTCTTCCCAAAAAAAGCAGACACTGTACAATTCTGCTCAACTAAAAGGCACTTTTAAGAAAACAGAATGTTACTTAGCTGACAGGATCTGGTTTTTGCTGAACCATGGCCAAAACTTATTTACCAAGTGCTATTTTTCAGCTGACATTATGTATCCCTTCCAGCTAAACTCATTTCAGCAATGTGATCCCCCTGTTGTTACGGGTTTATCGCAAAAGTAAATCAGAGTGTTCTCAAGAGAAGAGAAAGAGAAGTACGAAAACCCACACTACCCCCAGAGACAGACTTTACAGTTCTGCAACTCCAGCAAACCTGTCCTTAAAGCACTGTCCCAGCTCACCGGGTTCATACTTTAAGAAGTGTTCGCCTCAGCCACTTCCATATTTTCTTACTTCTTGACACCATCTGAATTAGAGATGCTTCATATTAATTTCACTTTTTAATTAGAAAACAAATCCCACCTTCAGACAGGAATGTTTATTTTAAACCTCAATAGTTTTGATTTCAATGTGTTACACTGTCTCTTATGTTTTTGTTTTGTGGGTTTTTTTGTTTGTTTGTTTTGGGCTGGTTTTGGTATTTCCTCTCTCCCAAAGCCCCCTAAAGAGCAAATTTACCCATGAAATACTTAGAGGTGAACCATTTTTTCCTTTAATCACTATGCTCCACAAGAGCAAAACAATGGTTTAGGCCCATTGTTTAGATATCGTATAAATATTTAAACAGACACTTCCTGTCCTGATGCACTGAAAATCACTCTTTACAGTCAGAGACTCCATCTGCTCTGTACTGACTCAAATAATCTTTCAACCAAAACAAATGCAAAATATTCCCATCGTTATTCAAAAGCACTAACCAACAGAACTGCTTCATTGCTATAAGCTAAACATACAAAAAAACGTGGTTAGAAAGCAATTTATATAATTTCCTGAGTTTAATAATTTATTAAATTTATCAATTCTCAATAATTTTATCTTCATTAATTAAATCCTAGATAAACTACTTTAGCAGAGGAAGCAAATTCTGCTCTTTGTCAAAGGAAGTCACGCTGGCCAAATCTGACCTTTGCATTCTCTCTAGGGCTTTCTTCAGAATTCATTCAATATCCGCTGATGGCCAAGAACATCCAGATGATTTATTCACATGAGTAATGGTAACAGAAATTAAAGTTTCTCTAAGTGAAATATGATGTAGATTCTATATTATCTAGATTCTAAATATGATGTAGATTCTACCCTTTGCTCATGATAATTAGTGATAAAACCAACACATTATGTACAACAGTACATATCTTAGCTAACAGTCCTAAATTTGAAAACATTTCCAGATCAGTTTTCAATCTCCAGTCAATGCATGAGACAAGATTTTCAAAGCTAGACCATGTGCTTTCACTGCAAAGATTAAACAACCCAGTCAATCAATCACTCAAATTCCAATATTTGTGCTTGCACTGGAACTGCCCTTCAGAAACCACCAGCACAGAATGGAAAAGGGAATGTGACCAGCAGGAGGAATATACAACACTGACCCACACA